TGTCGGGTCGGAAGATGCGCAGTTCCCTGTTGCTGATCGAGACCACCGCAACACGGGTCATAGGGGAAGGTCGCGACCAATCGCGAGCGACGCAAGTCCCCGGGGGGCGGGGACTCGCCTATAAAAGGCACAAACACGCGGCGCGTCGTGTCCGGCCACCGCGGGAGGGGATTCGGGAGCGACCGGCGAGCCTCGCCGCTGGATCCAGGGGAGGTGATGCTCGCCTGTCCTCCCTTCCTCGCTTTTCCTCTCTTCTTCTTTTTCCCATCTCCTTTCTTTCTCTTACCTCGTTGTTTGTTGTTGATTTTTTTTTTATTCTAAATACCTGCTACTCCAAAATTAGCTCTCTCTATATATTTATTTATTTTTTTGAGCAAAACGTTGAATAAAGCATTTTTTGACCATTTAGGAGCTGTTGTTCTGACTCCCACCCCAGGATTCGCAGAGCGAAACAGGGTGTTGAAATTCTGTGTGCTTCCTGAGTCATTGTTGTGACTCCCAAGTATTGCACAGACCACACAAAAAGATCACCTCCCCTGAACCCACCAGGTGGGTTGCGAGGTTAAATTGGCATCAGAGACAGGATAGTCTGTGAGAAGCAGTAAGGAGGCTTATAATGGAAAAGGGGGATCGCAGTCAGAGTGCTGAGGAAGGCAGAACTGGTTTTCAGTTGAAGTCAAGTGCTCAGGCAGATCATGGCTACCTGGGATAAACCTGATCTCCACTGCTCCCCACTGCTAGATTTTTTTTAAAAGGGTATACAGCATGTCCCACTCTACCAGGGCATAGTTGGGCAGAGAAAAATGGGCAATCTCTGACTGATGTAGCAGAACAGATAAAAAGTTTGGCGAAAGAAAGCCACTTTAAGGCTGGTAAGGGCAACATGATAGTCTGTGGTGTCCTGAGAGCTGCCCTAAGAGCTGCCCAGAAAGATAAGCATATTCTTAAGCAAACAGAACATGAGGCGAGTGAATATCTGCAAGAATTAGTTAAAACGCTGCAGGTAGAATTAGAGGTAGAACAAGCTAGATGGTGACAGGCCAAGGAAACGGTGAAAGAAGGAAAAAGGGTTGTGGAAAACCTCCAAGAACACTTGTGGGGAGCTTATACTGGGGAAAAGGACTTTGAGGGTATGACTAGAAGAGTATGAAACTGGTTTAGATAGGAAATCTTGTTTTTTTCTAGCCTTACTAAGGGAGCTGACCTCTGTCAAGAAATTGATCCTCACTACCTCTGGAAGGAATTAGAGGTGGCTAAGGCAGAATCCCAGGTAATCCGAAGTTATGGCTTCTCATTATAACAAAAGTTGAGTATGGGAACAATGGAGATAATTTATGCTGACCGTAGTGTTACCACCAGATACCCTATAATGTGACCGAGCTAGCAAAATTGCAAGAGAAATAGAGAAGGCAAGCTAGGGAGTCCAAAACAGAGTATGTTTGGAGAGTTTCTCTGACTTGGGGGAGATAGAATAAAGGTGTCAGAGGAAGAAGCTCAAATCTGTTGGGGTCCAGGGTTGTGCCTGACTGTGGATGATCCAAGGGAACCCTGGTCCTTTACTGAGCAAGGAGGGTGGGAGGATTAGACCCCATCAAAAGAGGACATCCAGTTATTATTCCTACTCCTGCGTTAAATCTGTTTACAGAGAGTATACAAAAGGTGGCTTGTCTCCAATTTACGCATGACAGACGGCTTGTTACTTGTCAAGCCTCCCCTATGTTACTAATTGCTAACCCAGAGAGGATGACTCCTGTGATTAGAGGGCTTCCCGACTCACTAAAGATGCGTGTGATACAACTTTAGGGCCTGTTGAGAACAAATTTAGCGGCTGGACCTGGCGGAAGGGCTGCCCTTACATGGGGAAAAGTTGCCCAGGAGATAATAAATTACGGCCAACGAGTAGGGTTTATTGGTAAAGACACGAAAGCTTCTGCAGTGGTCTGCAGAACCAAAGTAGACGGTAGGACATCCTATATGCCTGGCAAAAGTGAGGGAGGTGGGGGATCAAGAAATCAGCTATGGAAAAAAGGATTAAATAAACGTGTCCCTCAAGAGTTAATGGACAGTTTGCTCCTTCCAAATTTACAGTTGCTAGTAAAAATGTGGAAACCCACAAGTAAAAATCTCCCAAGGAAAGAAGGAACTTGCCCACTGTAGGGGAAGTGCCCTTGGTTTTGAAAAACCCCGTTAATACCCATGCGTGGGTTGCCACTGATGCCCACGGAAAAGAGCACCAGGTAAATACCTGGTGGATTACACCTTCTTTTTAAATAGTTCAGTAGAACCGAGTTTCTTTCTTTCTGCTCACTTACAGGTACAAGGAAAAGGAGCAGAAGAGAATTTCTTATCTTCACTTACAAACAACTACTCCCAGGAGCTGCGCAGAGATATATGGAACCTTTGATAATTAACATAGTGCTTTGTTTTGTTGCGTTAATAGCTTTCACTGTATACATATGTTTCAATTGAGAAAAGTGTTTTGGGAGACGTAGTATTGCTGAGATTTAATAGCTTATTACACCTAATATGGGTATTCTGCTATTTTTGCTTAAGGTAATTGTTTTGAAGTTTGTAATTGCAACCGAAGACCCCCCTACAGATGTAGCGTGGGAATTAATCCGAGGTTTTGTGCAGATATGGAATAATACCAATCAGGGAATTTGTGTCACTCTCCCCTCCTCTGCCGATCAAGGGCTGAGATTTTTTGTAACACCCGTAAACATGTCCATCAATCTGACTACAAAGCAGTCAGTAATGCAACCCTATGTCCGCTTCCCCATGAAATGGCACTTTCCTAATAATACCTATCTAAAATGGAAGGCAAATCATCTTTTGGTAGATGACTATGTGGAAAATGTCCACCGTCCCAACTGGAACAAAACTTTCGGTCAAAATGATACCTTTTTTGCGTATTATAACACAACTGATAAAGATTACTGGGGACGGAACATTTGTAATGCATCGCACCCGGAGATGAATTTTACTCTAAGTGAAGAGCGAGTAGGACAGATCCGGAGTGTTCAGGAGGGAAATGTGAGTCTCCTGCCAGGAACGATCAAGATTGACCCTGCCAGTTCCTACTCCATACCTTGCTCCTACTTTCCTTTTGATTCTGATTTTCATCCCTTAAAGCAGCCTGATTATTACGAAGCAACCTATGCCTTAAAAGTCACTCTTCCCTGGTGTATTCTACTCCCGAATACAACTGGGACTGAGCCTCGGAATCTCTCGTATATTCAGTGGATGTGGTCTATAGAAAATCCAACTCTAAACCCCTTGAAATATGTAGAAGTACCTTACCATTCACCTAGCAACCTTTTTTCTTGCCGTAAAGTAATTGATTGTAGCACAGGTCCAGGAAATCCTCCTGAATCATGGCTATTAGAGAGAATCAGGGTGCTGATACGAGATATGTGTATATGTTGGGGGTACCCTTCCAAAGGATACCTAAATCAAGATCCTCTTTGTAATGGAACCTATAGTGCATCTGATTATCTAAATATGGCTTCATACTGTGGCGTACCACGCACCCATTACCCTTTAAAACAGGTGCCTGTTCCAACATCACCTCCTATTTACTTGATAGACTATGCAGATGGTTGGACTTGTAAAACCAGCTTTTATTCCGCACCCTTTGGTTTAGCCTGGGGGTGTTCAAATGGAAAATTCTATTCACGCCTCAATTTAGTGGCACATGCTGGGCTCAAATGCGGGATTGTACTTCCCTCATTGTGCCCGCACCGAGTGTTTAACTTTACCAAGTCAAGTGTGCAGACAAAACGATCCTTAGACTCACCTGGTTATGTCTGTGATTGGACACATGACGCAAATGAGCCCACCTATTATACTCTAGGCATGAGAATCACTCATAACTTACGAGCCCTGTTCGATGTGCCTGGACTGATAGTTAGACATAAGTGGGCTTTAGAAAGTATTACTTGGCAAGTGCATGTATTGTCAAATTGGACTAGATATGCTTTCAGTAAGTTAAATTTACAAGTCCAGCAAGTGTCTAAAATGACTCTTTGGAACCGCCTAGCCCATGACACATTGTTACTAAAAGAGCAAGGTGTATGTGGAATGTTAAACGTTTCAGGTGGAGAATGTTGTGCCGCCATCCACAGTGCGACTACCTCTATCGAGGAGGCTTGCACAGAGATGAAAGAGATTGCAGACCAAACTGCTGAACTTTTCCAATCCTTGCAACCAGAAGACTGGTTCGACGGACTCTGCCCTGACACCTGGTTCACTTCACTTCTACAGTCTTTGGGACTGATGGTGTGGGGAGCATCATTGGTGAAAATAGGTTTAGTGTTACTGAGTTGTTTTATATTTTTAATGATTGCTATAGCTATAATGCGCTGTATGATTACTCGAGCTATTTCTTTTCTATTTTCTCTTTTCTCTCCCTCTGTCTGATATGTCGAGATCACCACCTGAGAAGAAGACTTGACTCTACAGGAATGAGATTTCAACCAACTGTTTGAGCCACGGGGTGGTGTAAGAGACTGGAACCTAAAAGAGTTGATGTCTCAAACACTCCGTGGAAGAAAAGAGATGTTACCACACTAACGAGATAAGGCACAGTTAGTAAAGAGGCACTAGTACCGCCTCCCCGCCCCCCCCCAGTTGAGCGAGGCGAGACAACTCCAGAAAGTGGCATACGAGAAGCTCTCACAACCAATTGAGAGTGACACAAGTCCTTGAGTGCTGGAAACTTGTCTGTGAAAGACACAAACACAAGGAACCTCATGCACCAACCGTGGAGGAATCCAGACAGATACCACCAAGCCTCACTGCTGGATCCAAGGGTGGTGATGCTCACCTGTCCTATTTTCCTCTCTTTTCCTTTCTTCTTCCTTCCATCTCCTTTCATTCTTTTATCTTGTTGTTTGTTGTTGAAGTTTTTATTTGAAATACCAGTTATGCCAAAGTTAGCTGTTGTTTGTTACTAAAGTTTTTATTTGAAATACCTGGTACGCCAAAATCAGCTATATATGTATTTTGAGCAAAATGTTGAATAAAGCATGTTTCAACAATTTAGGAGCCGTTGTTGTGACTCCCACCCCAGGATTTGAGAACGAAACAGGGTGTGGAAATTCTTTTCTCCTGAGTCATTGTTGTGACTCCCAACTACTGCACAGACCACTCAAAAGATCACCTGCCCCGAACTCACCGAGTGGGTCAGAACAGAGGTGCAGCCTTGGAATTCACTGGCTGAAACCTGTGAATTGACTTGTCTATGCACTTTGTTTCAAAACTTATTAAAACTACTTGTTTTTTTCAGGATTCAGATGGGAGAAGTTGCATTCTTCTCCTGTGCTCTGCTTCTGCTGTTAGGTCAGGGCAAAGACTTAGGTGCTGCTGCTGAAGGAGAGTCAGACCCATATCTTAAAACACTTTATTGTGGCTCTGGCTTCTTTTGGGGAAAGTTTCTCTCAAAAGACAGTAGAGTGTTGTGGTGGTATCTGTTGCTTTTTTATGTCCCGTGCAGTGGACTCTTCAGTGTAGACTGGTACCTGTAAGAAATCATGCGTTTAACAACAGAGTGCCCAGACTGGAGGTATGGATTTAAGAGAGACATCCTTAAGCACCTGTGTTGTTCAGGGCTTTTCTTTTAACACTCAGTTCTATCATTTCCAAGCATCTAGGTTTTCTACTAGTTTTCTTCTAGAATTAAAGCGAAATTTTAAAATTACAGAATGTGTTCAGCTGTCTTTTGTTATGAATTTGCTTTATATAGCAGTATAACCTACAGAAGGCTGTACTTGCTAGTGTGATGGTTGCAAAACTTATTTGCTCTCGCAGAGAAGCATTTGAGTAGATTTGTGGCCTCTTGGTTTTTATGTGGGCTGGAGCCTTAAACATAGTACTAACAATGGCAGTTGTTATCAAGTGCATAACTGAAGGTGATGATCTCGATCTATAATGGTTAGGAACTAATTCTGGCTTCTTGTTTGTGGCTTAGAATAGCCAAGTGCTTAGTATCTTTTATGTGTTCTTAAGGTTGCAGTTGGTTTGCTTCTTCCATGGTGCTAACATTCGTGAGTGAAAGAGGAAGGCACAATTCAATGCAATAATGAATACAGTGAGGTTTCTGTTTGGCATTTTTGTTCCCTAATGGTAAGAACCTAGGTGAAGGAATTACTTTTTTGTGTAAGGACTGGGGAAATAAAAAAAAAAGAAAAAGTGGAATGGAAGATGATGTTAAGTCACAAGAAAGAGAAGAAAGGATACGGCAAAATAACTGGATGGGGATTGGGGTCATGGCACATGCAATGAGCAAGGATGGAGGAATTCAAGAAAAAAATCAGGAAGAACAGTTGGTTGTTGGAGAAGTGTAAAACCTGAACTCTTCATGAAAAAGACAAGTCCTTATCTAGATGCTGAATAGATAACATAAATGAGGAACAATAAAAGAACACTAATTTCCCTTTTTAATACTCAATTGAATGTGTAATATGAATCTGCAGTCATGCGAAGTAAAAATAAGTGCATCTGTTTTGTTGGTTAAGGAAGTCTGCCTCCTGCTTAAACCTATTCTGAAAAGGGACAATAGAAAAAAGTTGTAATTGCTGCCTATTTTGCATTATATACTTTACTAGAGAAAAATCTCTCAGTTTGTTCACAATTGGTGATGTCTTGGGAGATTTGTTAAAATCAGTTCTGAGACGTGTATTAGGCAAGTCCCTAAATATTTCTGAGTGGTAGAAACAACCAATAAAAGTACGAACATATGGTACTTGGAAACAGAGCAGAAGTTACATGTGCATATGGTGTCTACTATTTTGGATCTTAATATCTAGAAATTTAACTAGTTTGTTGCAAAAATGTATGTCCAGCCAGAATCTTCAGTCATCTGTTGTTTGATTGCAGAAGCGATAGCTTATGTATCCATCTGTATGTTCTTGAAAAGGTAATACTGCTATTACAATATTTTGTATTAAATTGATTCAGCACTTGAAATGAGCTTCTAAACCCTAATGCCTAATCCTAGCATCTTTGGTATTGCCATATACCTACTAAGTAGAAAAAAAAAATAAAAAGAGTTGAAAAAACTTCTTAGTCTTTCTAGTCAGAAGTCCCTGAATCCTCAGAACATCTGTTGGTTCCTCATCAGGTTGCATGTTTGGTTATTCCTTAAAATTCAGGTTTGAAACCACACTTGTGTTTTTTTAGGTTGAGGGTAGATGAAAAATCCAGGGTTAACACAGCTCTATTCTGCTGAAATGAATGTACCTTTCCCTCTGTTGCATTAAAGGGCAAAGTAATTTGGCAGAAAATAAACCCCCTCGCATTCCAGCCCGTATCAGAGGGACTGGGCACAGCTAGGCTTAGATTCTGAGTGATGCCCAATTCGGCGTTAGAAGTCCAGTTGTGTTCAATATGTATATTGAACTATCACGATTACAGATGCGCTAGTAACACCATGCACGATTTGATATAGTGGTGTTCCATGAACTAGCACAACCACACTTAAAGAGTTTGGTTGTGTTCATGATGAACTCTCATGGCTAGATTAATGAAAAATGTAGTTTATTGAAGCAACAGATGCACAAGATTGCCTGTGATAAAGTTACTGTCTGCAAAGCATATGCAAATCCTAAGGATGTTAGTAATAGAGCCTGGCTACAAACACGTTAAATTATAAAACAATTCTATAGAGATTTCTAAGTTTCCCGGGGGAAGCACTTGGTATAGCCAAGTGTTCAAATCTTACCCACAATCGTCCTTATTGGGGGGGCAAGAGGCTCAGCCGGTCAATGGATCCCAGAAGTCAGGGATAGTCAGTGATGGTATTTCCCTGACCACGTTGGTATCTTCCCTGACATCCCTCCTCTCTTCAGCTATTTTTATACTATTTTTTACCTTTCAGGTGGAGCTTGAGGGACTCTAGTCTTACATACTTTTTTTATGATTGGTGTAAAATTCTCTTGCTTTGCTTTTAAAGGTATAGACTATGTAAAATTCAGAGTGCGGACTCCATGAGGAGTGGCCACATCTTGGAGGTGGGTGGCTTTTGGGATGGAGGT